TTCATGTGTGTGTGTTTGTGTGTGTATAAGTTTGTATGTGGGCTAATTTATTGTTGGAGTTTTTTGAATGTTTTTTTAAGGAATTGTTTTTTTTGTCTGCAATGTGTGTGTGTGTGTGTGCTGTATTTCTAAGTTTTTAAGTTCTTGTTTACATTTTTCAGTTGTGGGTTTGTTTGTTATTTATGTTTCTGTCTGTTGTTTTTATTTTCTTATTTGTGAAATGACGTCATAGTCGTTGTTTTACGTTACTCTTCTTTAAATTTTTTTGATTTTTTTTTCATAGCTTAGTTACACCTCATTATTATCAATAAGTTAGTGTCCTTCCCGTGAAGTGTGATGTGGAGTGGATGTGGCAATGCGCGGGTAATTCAAAACTCCAACTGCTTGCATCGTATTTCATACACACACACACACACGCACACACACGCACACGCACACACGCACATATACACACAGACAAACAAACAAACAAACACACACAGACAAACACATACACACAGACAAGCAAACACATACAGGTGGCGTGTGACGTGCGTTCGGTCCAACAAAAAAACGCGTACGTTCTTCAACGTCATTTCATTTCAAAATAATTAGCACTCCATTGAAGACGGTATCATTCACATTAAACCAGCGTGCTATCATCTCATTTGAACATTTAAACAAAAAGACATAAAGAGAGGAAGGGAATGAAAAAGTGGTAAAGATAGACAGATAGAGAGAAATAGGCCTGCTTTTTGAACGAACAACTAAACTCACTTCCTTGTAGAGGAAATTTGTTGCCAATGCCCTCATTCTCGATTCCCTCCCGAATTCCCACTTATGACAAAGTTCCCGAAAATTCCCATTCCTTATTTTGTAACTCATTCCCGTGTTTTCACTCCCATTCTCCCCGTTTCACATTTTCCCCATAAAGTTATATAAAGTTACATTGGGTTATATAGAATTATATAGTGTTATATAGAGTTATATAAAGTTGTAAAGAGTTTATAGAGTAATATAGGGTTATATAAAGTTATATAAAGTTATACAGGTTTATATAGAGTTATTTAGAGTTGTATAAAGTTTTATAGAGTTATATAGGGGTATATAGAATTATATAGGGTTATATAAAGTTGTATAAATTTATATACATATATAGTTATATAGAGTTATTTTTCCCATTTATCCCAATCCCGCCCGTCAATCCCGTTTCCCGCCCTGCGATTGCATGTTTCCTAAAATTTCCATTTCCGAAAATTAAGTTTTACCAATTCCCACGGGAATCCCATGGAAACTATGGGATTCCCGAGATTCCCGTTCCCACCTCTACTTCCTTGCTATATAACATCCAGTAAGAACAACGCAGGTGAATCCAACCGAACCATTTGTCAAGAATGATTTATATAATAATAATATTATTTGCAACTTGACGACTGACTTATAATTTATTATTAACGTACATTAACTCCTGTAGATCCCATTCAACAATACCTGACGCAAGATTGTACCACATCCTATTATTTACGTGTCAAATGAATTGTAATATAATAATTAGATTAGTGTGGTAAATAACATATTATCATCAAGACATTGTAAATAGAACATTATTTAGTGTTGATTTATTACTTAAGAAAACAATTACTTAATTGTTACTTAACTCAGCTGCATTGGCGTAATAACTAGCAAAATAAGTTGAGAGGCAGTTGTGTGTGTGTGTGTATGTTGAAGTGTGCGTGTGTGTGTGTTTTTGAGCGTGCAAGTGTTTGTGTGTGTTTGAATGTGTTAGTAACATTTATTTAAGGATGGTTTCACGCTGTTTCTACTCACAAACACAAAACAAGCAATACACGTACATTTGCGTGTACTTCATCTATCAAAATTTCGGACATTTTACTGTAGACACACCTTAGCAAAATCATTTGAAAAAATTTTCACAAAGATTTCTTAGTCAATGTTGAGGTCACATGGTCACGTCAAAAAAAAAGAAAGATAGGGGTAAGGAAATGAAATAGATAAAGTTAAATAAAAAAAGAAAGAGAAAAAGAAAGAAAGAGAGAGAGAGAGAAGAAAAGGGAGAAAGATAAAACTTTTCGACATTTAAGTCATTTCATAGAAGATAGAGTTCACCTTAACCAAACTGTTTGAAATTATAGCAAAAAGATTGTAGCTAGAGGTGGGCTAAAAGACATATAGTGGTGAGAAATGGTATATATCATCTCCATTTAGTACCATTTTTGGATAATTCGAGCATTCGTTAGTGCATTTATTTCTCATCCAAGCTAGTGAAGTTATAAAAAAATTTTCAATGAAAATATTTTTTAAGAGTAAAGTTTAATGAAAATTTAGGGAGGATTAGGTCGTCAAGGTCTTTAAAATAATTAAATTATCCACGGGAGATTATTTTGACTTTCACGATGCGGTATATATAATACTATTTAGCCCGAATAACTGAATGAATGAATGAATAAATGAATGAATGAATAAATGAATGAATGAATGAACAAAAAAACAAACAAACGAACGAACGAACCACCATCAAATGAATGATTAAATGAATAAACAGATGAATGAATGATCATACAAACAAACATAGAGCTGAGCCGCGATTAATGATTTTAGTCAATAAAATGATTGACATACCAATGTATCAGTTAATTTGATTGTACAATACAGTCAATGAATATTACAATGTTAATATTAATTTTTCGCCAGCCAGTCAAAATAACTTTGAGAAAAAACCATCATTTCATATCACGCACACAGGCACATTCACATAAGATTACTCAAAACTGAACGCAAACACATACATTCATTCAATCACGACGTACATTGTATTTGCATTAAAAAATTTGCTTTTTAATAACAAAATCAAACACACTTAGCATTTTTTCTTAAAATAAATAAAGTCCATAGTTGAAACGTTCGTGATTCATCTACGCTATTAATTCAGTCTGATGATTAACGACAACAACTCATCGGTATTTAGTTAGTTAGTGGCTAACCTTTTTAATATCCCTTCCCATCATTCCTGCCTTTCTAGTACACACATTATTAAGCCTTACAACATTTTATTATATTTTATTATTTTATTTTACAAATTATTTCATCACACGTTGGGTTTAGAAACTGTTGTACGATCTATCATCTTATGATAAACCGGATTTACATAACATACAAATGACAATAACTTGATTAAACAATAATAATAATTTTTATCTGTAATACTTTTATATAATAGTTATTGTAGTAACAGCAGCAGCAGTAGTAATAGCTGCAGTAGTAGCAGAAGCGTTAGCAGCGAGAATGGTAGTAGAAGCAGTAGTATCAACAACAGCCGACGCTGCAATAGCATTATTAGTAGCAGTGCTAGTAGCATTGGTGACATAATATATAACACCATAGAATAATATTTAACAACATGATAAGCCATTGTCTTCACATAGCTTTTACTCTCACAATAAAAGAATGAATAACTACGGCTAAATAACTACGTAAATCCGTACTCTACCGTACGGATGTACGGTAGAGTAGTACATACTGACTTAGCAAATGCATTTGTTACTCGCGATTGAATTTTATTACATTAAGGTTGGCTAGGTCAATGAACTGACTGGCTGTATCAACGAATGCTATTTATGGTTTAATCTCTAATATAAAAATCAAAATTAGTAATGTTTGTATGTGTAGAAAGAAAGAGATAGAGAAAAAGTAAAAGAGAGAGAGAGAGAAAGAAAGAAAGAAAAAAGAAGCGAGAGAGTGAGAGTGAATGAGTGCAGCTTTCTTAGAATATCACAGAGAGTTTTTCTCTTTAATTATTCGAATATGAGAACGTACATTTGCTTATTATATTCGAAATTATTGTTTTGTTAGTTAAATTAGGATGAATGGTACTGATAATGATGATGATGATAATGGTGGCGGTGATGATGATAGTGTACTAATTTTTGACGGTGACTTCAGTTATAATGATGACTGACTGGAACGTTGAAACTGACCTTCTTCCATGCACCTAGTACCTCGTGGTACGTTCAATGTATGCTGGGTGTGGAATGGCTCTGCGATCGAATCTGGTCAGTTCGAACCAAAAACATGATTCATGGTGGCGTTCATACGGACTGTGCTTGCTGAATCACTATGTCATTGACTGAACGTAAAACTTTAAAGATGGAAAATTCATATGAATCGATAGATGACGATGGAAGTACATAAATGCCGTGAGCTGAAAAATTGCAGTTGAATTTTTTGCCGAGGTGAACATTGACAAATTTGAAAGTTGGGCCCCTCAAAGTGTGTGTGTGTGTGTATGGTGTGTGTGTTTGTGTGTAGGTATGTATGTGTGTATAATGTAGTTTAGATCATACTTAGTCAAAGTATATTCTTTAGATAACATTGGAAATTCCATGAGTTTCGGTTTCATGATCTGAATTGAATTCACGCTAATACTTGACTTTGGTGTTTCGTTTTCAAAATAGTTGATTATTAATATGTGTGTGATATTCGTGATATTGATAACGGTTGGTTAGTGACTGATTTGCTTAAATCTATTCAATTATTTCAAAATAATAAAAAGTCTGGTTAATATCGCGATTGAAAAAAATTGATCCTACCTCTGATGGTTTAATGTTTCTTCAAAGAATTATCACTAAAATTGCAGGGTTAGCTTTTAAATGTCAAAATATTAAATTGCTTACAAAGCAAAAAATTTAAATAGCTATTAGTGGTCTTTATCCGGAGTATTTAAAGTCTTCTTGTATGTCAAATTATAGGTCTTATTATATGTACACATATGTAAATAATTTCCGTTTGGTATGTTGATTTTAGCCATTTCGTTATGTTGTGAACTGTTTCTTTTACTAAATGTTTACGTAACGTGAATTAATTATCCTCAGAAAACTACTAAGGAGTGTATATAATAATAATGATAATTATTAAAAATATTAATAATACTACTACTACTACTAGTAATAATAATAATTGAATATAGGTTTATACAAAATAAGAATTGTTGCTCAGTACGTGTCCAAAGTTTTTTTTTCAAAGTTTTGATTGAAAATTAGAAAAAGAAAGTTTATGTGATAGTGATAAAAACTTAAACAGATTGTATACTTCATTATGATAAAAATAAAATAAAAAACTAATAATAACAATAACTGAAAAACAAATAAAGATAACATGAGCTCTGTGAGAGGGACGTTTATCATGATCAGACCGGAGGCTGTTCAAAGGGGGTTGGTTGGCGAGATCATCAAGAGATNTGAGTTGAATGGTCTCAAATTAATAGCCATCAAAGCCATCATTGTGAGTTTGTTTTTGCGAAATTTCGATATTTTTGCGTTAAAAATCATTTTTATTTATATATATATATATATATATAAACACGTATGTTATACCTTTGTATCGGTAACACTTAACGTGATATTGGAGTGATTTTGCTGTATAATTCGCATCAATTATTTTAGATGAGTGTGATGTTCAAATTGCCTAATGAAAAGTAGTATTACAAGGAAAATTTATAGTTTTAACGAGTAGGTAATGTACTTGGTATTCCATTTGGTGCTCCATTTACGATCATGATCGATCGTACTTCGATTTGTTCTCAAGGCTTGAGTAGTTTTACTTGAATGGAAATGTTTGAAAAATTTCTTGTTTTAACCATATTCTAACTTTTATTTAGTCTCATAATCTATCTTTTTGAAAATAAAAATAATTCCTCAAGCCAAGTAGGAATTTGATGGAATCCCATTACGAAGAACATGCCGGTAAGTATTTCTACGAGAGGTTGGTTCGCGATATGACAGTTGGACGCGTGATATCAATGGTTGGTATGCTGTGCTGTGCTACTATTTTTATCTATCCCAGTTTATTTAATTCATTTAATTTATTTAAAGCCGATAAAATACTCTATTTTCTGTGGTTGGTGAAATGGTTGTTACAACGCTTATGTTATCACATGTTTTTTTGATTGACCGACTGACTGAATGTGTAACTGATTTGAATGAATGAAATAATTTAAATTCTTTAAATATGCAATATACAACTATCACATAAGCATGCACGCATACCAACGTTGAATTATTTAACGTCCTTGAGGTATGGGAAGGGGTAAACGCCATCAAAGTCAGCCGAAAAATGTTGGGCAACACTAACCCGGCAGAAGCTGAACCTGGAACCATCAGAGCCGATTTTGGACTCTCTTTGGAGCAGTTAGTATTGGTGTTCCTATAAAAAAATTAAAAAATTTGAAATTCAAAATAAAGAGGTTTTCTAGTTTCAAAGATGTTTTATAGTTTTTGCCTGATAAATATTATTGACAAATAAAAATAATTATTGATTGATTTGAGATTTTAAAAAAAAATAAAAAATAGATATTCGAGTATAGTTGTGGGGCCCTGTTTCTTATTCTAGAGACCAAGTTTGGTCAATTCAAAATACTATACATCAAAAACGTCGTGATTTCCATTACCAAATTATACATTTTCATGCTCAGAAGATTGAGTAATAAGTGAATCTTGTAACAAAGTACCAGCAATATATCGAAAACGTCTTTGATCACTGATTAACGAAATAAGAGACAACAAAATAAAATAATTTTTTCAAAATTTTTCAATTAATTAACCAATATATTTTAAGTGTTCTTTTTGAATTTAAACACTTTAATAACCGAAAATAACTCATCCATAACAACGTTTATTCAGAAACGCGTGTCACGGGAGCGATAGCGAAGAGAGTGCGGCCAGAGAAATCAAACTATGGTTCGATGAAGATGAATTGTGCACCTGATGTTCACTCATGTTTCCTTTCGTCACATCATTATATCACGTCAAAACTGCAGATAATAATTTTCATATTTTGATATTAAATGTTGATTTTTTTTTTTTGCTTTTAACTTTTTTATCGTACTCTTCATAACTTCATATTAACACACAATTCATTCCAATTAGTTTTTACATAATGATTAATTTGTATCGAGGAAACGTTTTTTCTCGAGTCGAGCTATATAACACCAATCTTTTTACAACAATGTAGTTTTGTAAGGCATTTTTTCCTTTTTTGGCTATTGTTTTACAAGTGTTATTTTTATTTTTTAATAATGTTCACACCAATAAGCATTATATTGTATTAGAGTATTCAAATTAAATTAAATTAATATGTTCCATTCATCCATTAACGTCCAAATATTCACGAATATGGCCACTCAAAAAAACATTTTAATCAGCAAAACTTTTGATACACTATCATTCAAAATGAAAATACAATAATCAATACAAAAACAAACCACATACAAACATATGTATATAGAAAATGATATATTTTATAATATAGGTATATATGATACACACATATAAAATATAGAGAGTAATTATTATTTTTTATGATAATAAAGTAATTAAGATAATTAGGATATATATTTATATTATATATAATAAGTATATGATAATATATAAAAGGGCATATAAATCCAACTATTTGGTATTAATAAATACAAAAATACCATAAATACAACAAAAAAAAATATTTTTATTTTTCTTTAAAAGGAAATCTAGATACAAGCAAAACGAAACGAAACAACGTATTAGAAAAAATTGTTTTTTCCGTTGCTAGGTGGGTCAAAATATTGGAATAACTCCTTTTTTGGAGATTATTTGTCGTTATTTTTTATTAAAAAATTATAAAAATAATAAGTCCTTAGCCTGGAATCTCTGCTTCAGGTGGCAAAAATTTTTTTTTAGATTTTTGTTTTAACTTTTAATTTAAAATGCTTCTTTTATTTTCAATTTTCAATGTGACATTCTCATTTTAAACCTTCACAGAGGTTATAGTCCATTTTGAGTTTGAAATAAATAAATTGTAAATAAATAAATTAAATAAATTTATAAACCATAAACAAACTAAAATATGGATGAAATATGAACTGACTTTTGGTTTGGACCATAGTCCATACTACACTCTTGTGAAATAAAAATACGTAATTTGTACTGATACATGACGTAATTAGCACTGTGATGTTGTTTTCTAATGTAATAATTAGTAGATAGTCTAGATTCTAGAATATATGTAATATGTAATGTTGTTGTAATGTATGTAATTAGTTAGCTATGTATGAAATGGATGGATGTCTGTGTATGTGTGATCCTTACTTATTTAATAAGTTCTGGTGTGGTTTTATAATAGGTTTTTTTTTGTAAGCAAATGTAAGCAACCATTGCTTAATTGTTTACTACTTTACTTGGTAAAAGTTAATTTTTGACACTATAGTTTTGGAATAGATAAATTGGGTTTATTTTTATATTATATTATAATTTTTACTCTATAAGTAAGGTTAATTACTGTAAGGTTAATAACTGATAATGTAGTCAAATCTTTATCTATTTTATTGTATATAATGAGTTTTACAAATTGTTATTAGTAATATATATAAACCTTTTTTTGGATTTATCAGAATAAAAATATACTTTATTTTATTTTCGTATGCAAAATTGATTCTCACTACATTACTTCTAAATTATTTTGTTACTAACTGTTAAATATGAAACTTTCAATTCATTATCAATTAAAATGTGTTTGTCCAACTGGCTGACTGACTTACTGGTTCATTGAATAAAATAAACAACAATTAGCTTAATATAATACAGAGTTAATTCATCTTACATTTTCAATCCAGAACAACATAAGCATTATCACATTGATTTATTTAACATACCTTCCTTCTCTACTACTTTCTAATTCATTGCCAACTTCTATTTACTCAAATTTTGTTTTTTGAAAGAGTTTTGTAAAAAGCAAGCAAGCACCACATTATTGTTAAATATATATAATTTTTAATTATTTTCTCCCATCATAAAATACAAATTATACTGTTTTTATATTCATTATTTTTAGTTCACTTTTATTTTCATTAAATTTTTTATTCAAAGCCAAAGTCAGAATGGGTGGTCCATTATTTAGCAGGGCAATGTCATCATACAGTATGTTTCAGTTTTGGTAATTATATTATTATTATTATTATGCTTTTTATTTAACTCATAATTATTTGATATATCATTATTATTATTTCATAATAAAATAATATAGTTAACATTATTTAACATATATTTTGTATATTGAATATATATTATGTTATATATTATGAACATAGATTATATTGAATAATATTATTAACACTATTTAAAACATCTTTCAGTTAATTATTCTAATTTTATTTGATTATTCTACAAAAAAATATTAAGTTTTTTGTATTAATAATAACATATGGGGTCATTGTAGTATATCATATTAATCTTGAGAAGAAACATGCTGGAATTAAAGATAAAGCTTAGGTTACGAAACTTGTGACAAACAACAAGAGTTTTAGAATCATGTAAGATAATATAAGTAATAGTAATAGAGTGTTTAGATTTATTAAAGCAAATTAATTCAAATTTACAAGGATTAAGTTTAAGACACATAGAGTCAGTCCAAGCAATAATTGAAGAAAGACATAGAGATAGATTATGAAAAACACTATTGAGATTAGATGGAGGAAAAGAAGTATAAAAGTAAGAATCATCAGCATATAGCTGACTAGTGAAAGAAAAATTATTAATAATACGAGGTTGTTCAGAGGTATAGAGTATGAATAGAAGAGGGCCAAGGATAAAACCCTGAGATACCCCAAAAGTAAGAGTAGAGGAGTTAGAAGTAGAATTTTTAAGAACAACAGAAGAAAAACGATTACCGAGATAAGAAGAAAACCAAGATAGACAAGAATCAGTAATATTAAAAGAATGATCTAGCAGCCTCAAGAGAATAGTATGGTCAACAGTATCAAAAGCAGAGGAAAAGTCAAGAGCAAGAAGAAGTTAAGATCACTATTGTCACTAGAGAGAAGGATATCTATCATTGTGTATTTTGAGTAAAGACGTTTCAGTACTGCAATTGATCAAGTCTGAAACCAGATTGAGATACAATTAGGAAGGAGTCCAGTAGATACTGATTTATAATGAAAATTATTTGTACTTATTATTTATTATTATTTATTATTATTATTATTACTGTTATTGTTAGTTTGTTTATAAATTTAACCTTTAACCTTTGCATGTTTTTTGAATAGCTGTTCAAATTTTGTAATTAACGTTAGTCAGTGTTGCTTAATGTTAGCTAGTGTTATGTTGCATAGTGATATTATAACACACATGTATTCAGTCACTCAATCTCTCACTCACACAAACAAACACACACATACACACATGCACAAACAAACAAACACATATACAAACGCACACATACACACACACACACACACAAACATACAGTATATTTTTTTTATAATTGCTATTACATAAATCTGCGTTTTGATGTGGCTTTTTAATAGAAATTTCGAAGTAGTTAGTTAATTAGTTTGGTGTTTAATTACCGCCTTAGTTTTCAACGTCATTTAATATAATTATTAATAATATAATTATTAATATTATAATTATTAATAATATAATAATCAATAATGATATTATTAATAATGCATGGAAAATAGTTTTCCTTTATGTTATTAGTCATTATTATTAGTGTTTTCTATACAATTATGGCTTTGTAATTAGGTCGTGTTTTTGTGTGTACGCGCGCGTGCGCGCGTGTGTGTGTGTATGTGGGTATTTTTGTATGCAGTTAAATGATATAAATGTGAAGGGTATATATTTACATGTTTTTGTATGTAGTCACATATGATGTGTGTGTATGTGTGTGTTGGCATGTTTGGATGTGTATGTGCGTGTATAGTATATACAAATACAAATTCGGTATGTCTTCAAGTTTGTATAAGTTTGTTTGTATGTTTGCTGAGTAAACCTGTTTTGCTTACATTAGTATTAGTGCAAAGTTTGTATATATATACAAACATGTGTTGTGTTTGCGTTTGTGTTTGTCAAATATTTAACTGAAGTATACACACATGCATACTCACTTGTTCACACTTTAAGATGTAACCAACTCATGCATAGTGCTTAAAATACATAAATAAATAAATACAATAAATACAATGTTGCATGTGTGTGATACGTATAATTATAAATTGTCATTTATAAATATGCGTGTATGTGTGTGTGTGTGTGTGTTTGTTTGTGTGTGTATGTATGTCGTATATCAATGTGTATGTATATACATACAAACACATAGTTACGTAAATGTTTATAGGTTGATTAACATGCCAATGCTATTCCTCACTCACACCTGTATTGTCTCAAATATTGCTTTTGTTTTTATCTACCTATTTATCTGTGTGTTTATGTATGTGTGTGTATGTGTGTGTGTGTGAATGTTAGCTGCCGAGCCATGGTAATGAATAGGTCTACAAGTGCAAGAATTGATTTTTTTTTTATTTAAAATAATTTTCAAATAGATTTTTTCAAGTGTTTGGTTTTTTGTTGTATTTTATTATACTCACAGTAAGTGTCTAAAGATAATAATGATCATAAATTTTATAATAATAATAATTATTATTATTATTTCTGTCGCAGTTATTAAATTATATTCTTCCTAATACTCCGTACTATCCTTATGTGAATCGTCATCATTTGAACTGAACACCTGTTTTAAAAAAATTGTCAAGTGCAAATTTTCACATGTGTGTGTGTGTGTGTACCTGGATTAAATTCTCAAATCAATACGTACAATTTCGTACAAACCACCCATACAAACTTACATACAAAATCATAAATACATGAGTAGTTAAGTGCTACACACACATGAAACCATATATACAAACACACATCAGGATACAAATATATAAACCAGCATACATACATACATACATACATACATACATACATACATACATACATACATACATACATACATACATACATACATACGAAACGAAACGAAACGAAACGATCTTTTATTTGCTTCCCAAAAATAATAATTAAGAAGGCAGGATGATTGTGATCGAGCTCATGATGAGCTCATCTTGCACAGCCACCTTATCACAAATAAAACAGATGTAAGAAAATTAGAAAAAATGTTTTCAGTTAGCTTAATTAAAGTCATATTCTATAAATATATATACACGTACATACACATATATATATATATATATATACATACACATACATATACGCATACACATACTCATATATAAATCATCGAGATCAACAGAACAATGTTACATTAAATAATCATTTAATGTTAGTTTGAATTTATAAGTTTACAATTCAATTTGGTTACAAAATTTAATGTCAATTGAGTTTACAATACATATATATACATACATATACATACCCATATATACATACATAAACAAATATATATAAACCAAATATTAACAAAATAAATTTTATCCATGTACGTACATATACACTCACGCAGACACACATATATGCCTACTTTAGAATAAAAACAACTTTATATAGTATTATTAATAATAAAGCTTTTCAAATTTTTTTTAAATTGAGATAGTTGTTGCGATTCATTTGGCAAGCCCTTTTTTAGCATCATATTCCATGTTCTTGGACCTCTGGTTATGATGTGACTGAATAGAATATGCGTCTTTGATTT